AGAGTCTTGTCCTTGCTTCAAGCAAAGTGCTAACAAGGTGCTGAACAGAGTGACGGTGGCACAAAGGTTAGCGCTTATGACTACGGATCAGAAGATTCTCGGTTACGGAAACCAAGAAACTGTGTATGAGAGAGTGCGTAAGTGTATGAGTGGCACTTGTGCAAGCGGAGCAGGGACGTGCCAGCGATCAGAATGAACTGGAGTTTGTGCCAAGACTGGGTTTCAAGAGTGGCAGTTCCCATATGGTCTAGCGGTTAGGATTCCTGGTTTTCACCCAGGCGGCCCGGGTTCGACTCCTGGTATGGATAGGCTTGAGTGCTTTTGCTTCAGTCCTTTTTGGCCAGCGGTCGGTCTGCAGCTACCTTATAGGATGTGGTTGTGGAACTGCCCCATAAGCCTTCGATAGCTCAGTTGGTAGAGCGGAGGACTGTAGGTGGGATGATGGCAATCCTTAGGTCGCTGGTTCGACTCCGGCTCGAAGGACATCTTTTGCGCTCAGAGCCGCTTTCTTGCCTTCGCCAAGTGAGTTAACCACTCCTCAAAGTTCAGCATGGAGGTGAAAAGGAAGTTCCCTGACCGGGAATCGAACCCGGGCCGCGGCGGTGAGAGCGCCGAATCCTAACCACTAGACCACCAGGGAAGGTGTGTGTAAAGGTTGGCCTCAAGTCTAGCTGTGGGCCTCCACCCAGGTGTGCTGCAGCTGCTCTGACAAAAATAACTAACGTTTGCAACCTCCTCCCGGAGAAGAGAAAGTCTCAGAGCCTGGATCACAGTTCTTCTTGGGAGGGACTGTCACATGCTCGGTGTAAGAGCATCCTATCGACACCACAACTTGCCATGACAACAAAGCAAAGCATGCTTTTAAGGAACTCCATGTTCACCGAGCCGTGTCCTCTTTCCAAGGACCATGCTAATGAGCACTGCTGATGCGGACGGGGCCACTGGCGCAATGGATAACGCGTCTGACTACGGATCAGAAGATTCTAGGTTCGACTCCTGGCTGGCTCGTTCAGGATTTTTTTGCGTTGCTCTCAGTGCAGTGCGGTCGCGGTTTTCCCCTTCCGGAGTTGTTCGGTTCTACTCTGGAGTGAATCGAGTTTCTGGGGCTGCCAGCACAGAGCCTGTGGGGTGCTCTCCTGGGTTCAAAGGCTGCCCCAACCGCTCTCATGTCTTGGTCCCGTACATCCCTCAGGACTTCCAGAAGAAACCAGTACAGCCACTCTCCTGGGAAGACAGCAGTGACAGCTTGTAAACCAAAATGTTTGCTGTGAGGCTAAGGCGTTCTACTGCAGCACAGATACGCATTCAAAAAGCATACAATATTCAAAAACAAAGTGCCAACCTAAAACAAGATTGAAGTCAAAATGACCACCTCAGACAAGTGTGAGCAATGTTTCAGTCTCTGTTATACGTCGGCATATATGCCACACAGTGCATACGCTCATACTACTGAAAAGGAAGTTACCTGACTGAGAAAGGTATAAATAGAAATCGGAGCCTGCTCCAAACGACCTGGTCAGCCCCAAGTGGGCTGTAAAAACCTCCTGGAGTTTTCATTCATTTAATGTCTGGTACAAGACACTGCGTCCAACCAGTTATGTTTGAATGTCAAACCTACCCCAATCCTTAAACCAACCTCACAGTTTCCTGCTGTGTTTTATCAACCTCCCAACCTACCCCAACTCTTAACCCAACCTCACAATAACAAACCTCCATGTGGGTTTCATTGATTCAATGTCTCGTACATGGCACAGAATACAACCTATCGCAGTTTATTAAAATCACACCTACCCCAGCCCTAGGCCCAACCACACGGTAACCTGCTGTGTTTTATTCAATTTTACTCCTACCCCAACCCTAAACACAACCTCAGAGTAAGCAGTTTATATATTTTTTTATTTTTATGAATGTCTACTACAGCTACATCAATCGCAAACCCAGCCTACGTGCGGTATAAGTGCCTACCACTTAGAGGTCATCCAGCCGACTTGCAGTGTAATCTCCTCCACTTGTAGGTCTCTGAGCTGCAGCAACACCTAAGGGCTCTGACACACAGACACAAAAGAAACCATTGCTTTTAACCTACTCTTGGAGAGGAGAGAGTCTCCGACCCTGCATCTCAGGTCTTCTATGGAGGGACTGTCAGGAATCCTGTAAGAGCATCCCATCCACACAACCTCTTGCCATAAAAACAAAGCAGAATGTGTGGTGAAGGAACTCCGGGTTGACAGAGCCTTGTCCTTGCTTCAAGCAAAGTGCTAACAAGGTGCTGAACAGAGTGACGGTGGCACAAAGGTTAGCGCTTATGACTACGGATCAGAAGATTCTCGGTTACGGAAACCAAGAAACTGTGTATGAGAGAGTGCGTAAGTGTATGAGTGGCACTTGTGCAAGCGGAGCAGGGACGTGCCAGCGATCAGAATGAACTGACATCTTTTGCGCTCAGAGCCGCTTTCTTGCCTTCGCCAATTGAGTTAACCAATCCTCAAAGTTCAGCATGGAGGTGAAAAGGAAGTTCCCTGACCGGGAATCGAACCCGGGCCGCGGCGGTGAGAGCGCCGAATCCTAACCACTAGACCACCAGGGAAGGTCTGCGTAAAGGTTGGCCTCAAGTCTAGCTGTGGGCCTCCACCCAGGTGTGCTGCAGCTGCTCTGACAAAAATAACTAACGTTTGCAACCTCCTCCTGGAGAAGAGAAAGTCTCAGAGCCTGGATCACAGTTCTTCTTGGGAGGGACTGTCACATGCTCGGTGTAAGAGCATCCTATCGACACCACAACTTGCCATGACAACAAAGCACAGCATGCGTTTTAGGAACTCCATGGTCACCGAGCCGTGTCCTCTTTCCAAGGACCATGCTAATGAGCACAGCTGATGCGGACTGGGCCAGTGGCGCAATGGATAACGCGTCTGACTACGGATCAGAAGATTCTAGGTTTGACTCCTGGCTGGCTCGTTCAGGATTTTTTTGCGTCTCTGTTATATGTCGGCAAATATGCCACACAGTGCAGACTGGGCCAGTGGCGCATACTGTCACCTGTAAGTTGTGGTTATTCTTGGTTACACCGGCCAATCACGTTCTGAGTTGGAACCAAGATTTTTTTTAATTCTTGGTCATGCTGGCCAATCACGTCCCGAGCTGGAACCAAGATTCACCCTATTCTTTGTTACGGCAGCCAATCGTGTTCCGAGTTACAATGAACGCTATGGCCAATCAGAGCCCTTATACCATTCAAGATTTGTACTGTTATAACAGATTTCGTTGCAGATTAATTCGGACAACAATTGCAAACTAAGTATTTTTATAACAAGTTGGTTTAAATGAATAACCATTACAGTAACGTTGAATACTACACTGTTAAAAATTGTCCCGTTAAAAAACAGTAAAATACTGCCAGCTGCAGTTGCCAGCAATGTACTGTTATTTTACAGTATGTCGCTGTAAAAATACATGGACTACATTGATTTACACAATACTCAAGTGAACTCATTTTGCTCACTGAAAGCAACTGCCTCAACTTGGTCAACTGCTGAATGAGTTTATGAGGTAATGTGCTATATATGCTTAGAAGCATACTTATAATGATAACTTATTTTAGTTAATTAGAAAAGTTCGGTTTAACTCTAATGTCTTATTTTTCACAACAGCACACAAACATGTAAATCTGGAATCACCAGAGAGATTCTGACTTCATCAGCAACTAAACAGCCGCTATCTTTAAATAGAAAAAAACCATGCAGAATAACATCAGCAGTTCATTGTTCATCTTTAACTCATACACTGGCTCTACTCTCCTCCACAACGGTGACATACAGAAGAAATTAGCTTCAGGTCTTACAGTAAAATACTGTTTTTTCCTTGATTTAACAGTAATCTACTGGCAGCTGTGGTTGCCAGCAATCTACTGTTTTTTTACAGTCTACTTCCGTAGTTTAAGTTAACAGTATATTACTGTTAAAATACATTTTACACTGTGTTTTTACCTCTCACACCTTTAACCCTTAAAAACCCCAGAGCATATACTTCAGTTTTTATTGAAGTGTCCACACTACTGAGTGTTCAAGAAACATGTAGCAAAGCTGAAGTAAATTCATTAATTAACTGACTAATTAAATGATAATGGAAGATTAACAATGAATAAATGAAGAAATAGTGAAGGGAAAAAACAAGAACAGAACATACAAAACTTTAGTCACAGCTTTATAATGAAATAACCTGAAGAACAACAAATGATTAAATCATTTAAATGATCAGCGGATGATTAAACAACTCTACAAACATCATCACCAGCTACACTTATTACTTAATACATGTTTTTTTGTATAACATCTACTAAAGTTCTTCTTGAGAAAAAGTGAAAGTTTTACGTCACCATCATGGAGAACAGAGTTTGCTTTAGTTGGGCTCTTAGCCCTGTCATTTTTAACATTTATATATCTTGGCTGCTGCAATTGTTAAGAACTTAGTTTATAAAGCTCCTTTGTTGTGGCAAGCCAGCCAAAAACCTAAATAAGATCTGGTGATGTTCATGTTGCTATTAAATGGCAGAGTCTGTTCTCATTTCGTATAATAAAATTTACTGCTCCTATTCAATGTTAAATCTATTGTTTTACATTATATGTATATATATATATATATATATGGCAATGATTTCTGGAAGTTTTTAAGAATATCTTGGACAATAACACTGCTCTATGGTGTAAATCGCACTCAAAGAGACATCAATAATCAGCATATGAACCTCAATAATGGTGACAACAAATTTAACAAAATTTAACAAAATTAACAGTTTAACTCACAAACAGGCAACTGAAAGTCTAAACATAAACAACAGCAGAATCAAACACAAATAAAGAAAACTGTTAGACCATTATACAACATTTATTTATACCGCAATGCATACTGGGATATTTGTACAGTGCCACTCCCAGCATGCATTGCAGCATGAAACATTTGAGATGTTACCATTGTTGAGATACAAGGTCAGATTCATGAGGTCTGAGTGTGTATTTGTCATAACTGAACTGTTTTTGTATGTTATTTCTTAACTGTTAAGTAATTACGGAGATATCTTTTCTGTTTTGTTGGACTATTTCTCACTTGCCTTAGTCCACCCCAATTCAATAATCGGTCAGGAGTCAATTAATCAAAATCAATGAATTTGTTTATCGAGCATAAGTGAATAAAGCGAAGGTCAGGATCCTGGGCTTTTGAAGAACCGTCAGCCAAGCAGTCTGGATGTCCAAAAGCTCTCGAACTCTCTCGACTCCCTCCTTTTATCCATCAGCAGCGTTCAATCTTTTTGGCCACTCCTCTGATCAGTTACCCCCAATCTCTATTGTTGCCATCAGCTGTTTTCAGGCAGAATCATCTCTCAAAAGTATGTGGTCTGCACACACAGATACCTCTGCACACAGAAACAAAAGGGCAGGTGAAAGTATCACTTCTCCTTGACATACTTGACACTACTGACATCTGGGGTGCAGCAAGCAACTGTAGCAAAAAATCATCAAAGCACAGCTGAGCATCATAACTTCCTTATAGAATTATCAGGATAATATCAATTTTATTAAAGCATCATACATCACGCATACACAGAGAGCAGTATAAAAATGCTGCATCTACCACATCTGCCTTTCCTCCTAGTCCTGTCTATGAACTCTTGACCTGTGTATGCACCCATCTAGGGGAAGCACTTTTGCAGATCTGTCTCCAGCCAGCACCCACACACAGCTCTTGTGGTTTTAGCAGTTAGTTAGAAACGCATTATTACAGGGGTTAAGTAGAAGTATGCTATATCAGGAGACATCATCATATCTGACAAAAACACATATTGTAAATTATGAACAGTGAGGCAAATGGGAGTATATTCCTCCAATAGCAAAAATATATCAAAAGAAAAGAGTGATTAGTAAGACAATAAAGCAATATTTTCCTCATCTGCTCCAGTTCTCCTTTCTGTGTAGAAAAGTCACACGTCACAGCTGCAACCCAGACAGGGACTTTCTGCAAGACTTGTTTGTTACAGATTTAGTTATTTGACATTATAGGTGTGGAAAGTTCCTGTCTCATTTTAAGGTCAAACAGAATGTCTCATCATATCATTGCGTGGGCTCATTAGATTATCATGGTTCAAGCAAACACATGCATTATAAGCATGAGCACATATATATCATTCAAAAGAAACATTAGACTATAATTTTATTCCTTCACTCTCCAGTGTGGATCCTCATGTGGTGATTAAGGGATGACGATTGGCTGAAACTCTTCCCGCATTGAGTGCATGTGAATGGTTTCTCTCCAGTGTGGATCCTCATGTGGTGATTAAGGGATGACGATTGGCTGAAACTCTTCCCGCATTGAGTGCATGTGAATGGCTTTTCTCCAGTGTGGATTCTCATATGTCTATTAATGTCTGATGAGCAGCTGAAACTCTTCCCACACTGAGTGCATGTGCATGGTTTCTCTCCAGTGTGGATCCTCATGTGTTTATTAAGGTGTGCTAAGCAATTGAAACTCTTCCCACACTGAGTGCATGTGAATGGTTTCTCTCCAGTGTGGATCCTCATGTGTAGATTAAGGTATGATGATTGGCTAAAACTCTTCCCACACTGAGTGCATGTGAATGGTTTCTCTCCAGTGTGGATCCTCATGTGTATATTAAGGTGTGATGAGCGGTTGAAACTCTTCCCACACTGAGTGCATGTGAATGGTTTCTCTCCAGTGTGGATCCTCATGTGTAGATTAAGGTATGATGATTGGCTAAAACTCTTCCCACACTGAGTGCATGTGAATGGTTTCTCTCCAGTGTGGATCCTCATGTGTATATTAAGGTGTGATGAGCGGTTGAAACTCTTCCCACACTGAGTGCATGTGAATGGTTTCTCTCCAGTGTGGATCCTCATGTGAATCGTAAGTTTGCTTTTGTTTGCCAAACTCTTTCCACACTGAGTGCAGGTGTAACGATTCTTGTCTCCCCTTTTCAAAATACCATCAGTCTGTAAATTCGATTTTTCCTCAATTTTGACATGATGTTCCTCCTCTTTACTCCCCTCATACTCTTCAAATAGGTCTGAAATAAAAAAAAACATTATTTTTCACCAAGTCTTAAAAACTCTCATCAAGAGCTGAAACGTGTAAAGACACATTGGCTACACACACTGTAATTTTGATGCACAATAAATGTAAAATGAATCAGATCATACTTAGTTTGGTCCATTAACGTGTACACATTTAAGCAGATTCAATTCAATTCATCTTTATTTATCTAGTGCTTTTACAATGTAAAATGTGTCAAAGCTGCTTAACAGAAGTTATAGTAAATTGAAACTTTCTCTGTGTTTCAGCAAACGAACCAATATTTGGGGACATCTTATTTTGACATATTCTGGGAAAATGCTTTGAAATAAAAAATAAATAAAAAACCTCAATACACTTTGGGCAAATTTACTCCCTTTTCGTTATATTCTTGGCTGTTTTTTCTCAATTGGCCTCTATTATAACAACATTTTTTATTGCAAAGCTATGACAGCATATAATCATGCATTAAAAATTGTTGGTGTTTTCTGTGATGACAGTCAACATTGTTTAATTGGTCTCCACCCATGGGATGGCAAAAAGGCAAATGGGTGAGAGTATAAAGCAGGGGTCACTAATCCTGGTCCTGGAGGCCCGGTGTCCCTGCAGAGTTTAGCTCTATCTTGCCTCAACACACCTGCCTGGATGTTTCAAGTATACCTAGTAAGACCTTGATTAGCTTGTTCAGGTATGTTTGATCAGTGTTGGAGCTAAAATCTGCAGGACACCGGCTCTTCAGGAACAAGTTTGGTGACCGCTGGTATAAAGGAAGAAGAGGAGAGTTGAAGAGGGCAGCATTATGTGGTGTGCGAAAAAAAGAGAAGTTGACTGAACTGTTGCAGTGCGGGGAAACGAGTAATGACACCGGGTCGAGACGAGCAGTGTAAACGTAATGACTGGCTGTGAGAAACAAAAAGTGAAAGTATGTATTGAAGCAACGAAGCAAAGACAGCTGTCTTGTTACTAAAGTGCTCGTGACGTCTGTGAACGAGTGCATCACCAAAGACTTCAGCGCAGTGAACACAATCAAATTAGCGATTTATCTCACCTGATGGAGTCAGCTGCCGACTCACCGGCTGGGTTCGTCAACGCACTCAATCTTCACATCCACACCTCCACATTCGCCATTCTCCACTCATTTCCCCTGACCCTCCGCTCCGTGGGTAAGAAGCAAAAGTTTTTGGGGTTTTTTTTTGCCCAAATTCTTCTTTTATTAATTTTGTTTTGTTTTCTCCTTGTACTATTATTATTAGTATTATTTTTCCCCGTTTTCAAATCTGATGAATCTGTTGGCCTGAAATCATTTGCATTTTATTTTAAACTGCATTGTATTTAAATCAAATGAACATTTTCATATTAGTCAATAATATTACTGTTTTAATTTAAAAGCTGAATAAATATAGATTTACACACATTTACTCAAGCAAATAAACAATTAATGATGGGCTAAAAATCTGTAGATTTCTGCGGCAAAATCTGCGGAATTCTGTGTGCGCAGATTCTGGGTGGGCCTAATAATGAGCCATCAGACAGGTATGTGACTAACTGTACGTTCACACCGAAAGCGGCGAGGGCGTCAATGTAGCCGGAAGTCATTTATTTTCAATGAGAGCCGGCAGTGATAAGCAGCGAGGAGTGGCACGTCTTTGCGGGTGTGGGCGTCGAGGAGAGTTGAAATCAAGTCAGCTTTATGGTAATGAGCTATGACGCAGTTCGGCGGCAAGCAATCAGAATGTAGAAGTCCACCGCTTGAGAGGAGTCCAGAGAACACAGTTCTCCTGTGAACTTTGGTTTCGACCACAGTTGTTCCCAAGGGTTTATTTATTGTGGTCGCCAAATTTATAATTATTTGCAATGTTTCTCTACTGGAACATATTTTAAAATGTTACTGGCGAGCTACTGACGTGCATTAATGTTGTAAGTTTTTTTTTTTTTTTTCTTAAAAAAAACTGAATGTCATGCGACAATACAAAACAGTATTGCTGCTTCAGGATATTTTAGACATATGGACACACTGGATAATTAAGTGAAGCAAATCCACATCACATGCAACTTAATCTCTCATTGTTAAACAAATTTGACAATAAGTGAGCAACATTTTCACGCTAGAAAGTATGGTTTTATGCGGGAATGTAACTGATAAGATATGCTGCAACGGCCCCTTTAAATACGAGATCAATGTAGCGAATTTTGACGCTCTCGCCGCCACAGCTAAAGACAGGCAGCGTTGTCGCCAGGGCGGTCAGAGCGACCTTTGACGCACTCGCCACTTTCGTTGTGAACGTACAGTAAGGGGGAAAAAAAAGTTTATTTATATATATTTTTTTTGATTGCAGTTTATTTAAAATATATTTAGTTATCACACAAAACAACTTGATACACTTGTGAGAGTCAGTAAACTGTATACAACTCTGTAAACTATATAATATAGCAATTCTACTGATAAATACACTTTACGTATAACTTAAGGCCTGCACTGGAATTTACACGACACATTGTGTACTGAAGACACATTCAGAGCAAATCAACAATGTAAATATAAAGCGTGTGAGATAATAAAGGGTGTAAGGTTTGTAAAAGCGTGAGCATCACATGGTTTTAGCTGTGGTCCAGATTCATGAAAAATCTCAGAGCCTGTGGAGCCATGTCAGCATCAGTCTCTCTTATTCACATCTGAAAAAAATAAGCAATCTGATTACATAAACTACATTATAAACATTTTTTTGATGTTCACTGATACTAGTACTGAATTTACCTGTTGTCATTGTTTGTGTACACAATAAAAACTAGACACTTAACAGATTCAATTGATGTATTGATCTGATCTGTACGATCAAAACTAAAAGTTTAATTCAAGTTCTTTTTGGCATTATGAGGAGAAGACGCATAAAAATGTGTACAAGCGATCTTCAACCCCCTTATGTAAGAGTCTAATTGTTGTTCTGAGATTGTATGTAATACGGTCTACAAACTTTTTGTGGGTGTTGAAGCTGGCCTCTGCTGATGAAACTGCAAACTATCTACAGTAAACTTTCTTTTAATTGAATCTCTAACTCCTGCTCTTCTTCGTCTGATTTTTGGGATAAAACTGTTGGTCCCCTGAACTCCATATAAAAGACAAAAACTTTTTGAACAGGCCTATCTAAAGGGTTAATGCTGCCAACTGATGATCAACAGTAAAAATAACATGTTTTACCTCTTCCCAACAGGGAAAACACCAACAACCTAGAATCCATGATTATTTGGTGTCATGGCTTTGTGGTTAAAAATGTGGTTATAATAGAAGTCAATGGGTTAAAAACAGCCAGGAACACAATGAAAGGGTGTAGGGCTGCACGATGAATCATTTTACTTTCACAATAACGATATTTGTGGCCCACAACCAATAATTAAATATTGTCATTATTTTACAGTATAAACACCAAGCCGTTATTTTAATGAGTGGAGTTTATGGATTGTAGCGCAACACAAGCATGAGGTGACTGTGTCTAGATTGCAAGTGTTTTTTTTTTTTCGAGGAATGTAATGATGATCAGGTAGCCTTTGCTCCTGTTCAGTCCAAACTTCCCAAGGTAACACAACAAATCTCATTAACTACCTTAAAAACCATCTCAAAGTTGCTGTCATCAGTAGGTTATGCCGAGTTCAGCCTGCATGATTTTAAAAGTAGTCGTGTCACAGATGTTTTCACACTGCATGACTATCTGGGCAAGCGTTTCGTCGCTGCTTTGTTTACACTGCAAGATGGATCGGCGACAGGGACTTTCACATTGCATGACTTTACTATAGGAAGAATCGCAACAACTTCGTCCAAACTACGTCTCACAGCCAAAAACACGTAGTATATCTTTTGTTATTAACTACATAATGAGAAAGAAGCCTTTAATGGGGTAGAACATGTACATGTTTGCTCACCTGGGTTTAAAGGGAATTAGCCATTTCTCCTCAACGTTGATAAAACTAATTTCTTTCTGTATGAAACATCAAACAGACACGGTTGCTCCTGTCTAACCTCCACTAGTTTTTCCTCCATTTTGTGGGTCCAAATAAACCGAAAAAGAGCGCTTTTAACTTCTCCCCCAGCCTCCCACTGGCCTGCAGCAGGTATACACACACGCACACACAAGTGAATGCCGCTCTCTCATTGGCTGTAGGCGATCGCTGATGTTATTTTCAGTCAAAACTCAATTCACACGGCATGATTTGAATCGCCGACAGCTCCAGATATTTAGCACGCCAAATATCTCACACGCATCGGTGACTCATCGGCGATTCTCTCAGATCGCGTCTTTGATAGTTCATAGTATACTGTGTGATTGTCACTCACGTGCATGAGCACCGATTTGCCTGTGATTTCAGGCATTTGTCTGCGATTTCTCAAAACCTGTGGGCGAGCCAAAATCGGGGCTAAAATCACGCAGTCTGAACTAGGCATTAATAAGCTCAGGACAAATCTGTTTTGCATTTTTCTATGCATTACTAACATTACTAAACATTTAACAAAATATTCGCAGAGATTTAGACATTTTTTCCTGACGCGTTTGCCAGTCATGTAGACAGAAGACACAATCCAATTGTTTCAATGAAAAATAAAAAGTCACTGTGGCCCTGTTCACGCGGGTATTCAGGTTAGTTTTCATCAATCTGATGCAACTTTTATTATTTATAAGAAAAGAAAACGCAATTTAAAGTTTCAGATTTACCTCAATTTTTTAAAAAGACTATTTTATGCATTAAATAACGAAATAGATTAATTTACTAATTTCCTTTATTTCCGATTACCATGCACTTTATTCAGTTTTACAGTTTTTTTTTTTATATATATATAATTATTTTTTAGGGGTTTTCATCTTTATTTGGATAGGACAGTGGAGATTTTA